ACAATTCATTTTGCTCCTTTGTGTAAGGGTGGGTGGGGTATCTAAAAAATTACAAGGACTTATCGGACTTAATGATTTAATTTGGATATTGAAATAATCAGATTTAGTGTATTTCTAGTGTATTATGTACTTGCTGGTGCATTTAAAAATGTACCCATTGCTAAACAAATCGTCCATGTTTGTTGTAACTTTTTGAAAATTACCCAGAAGTTTGTTTGGAAAGAAAACATAGAATTTAGAAAACAGCTTGATATTTAAAAAAAAAAGTAAATTCTTTGTGTATGCCAAATTTCTTGAACATACGCAAAAATAAACCTGAGGTTCTCTTCTACTCCTGACCAGTAAACGCTGGAAAGTCACAAATTATAAGATTTCAGGACTTTACACCTCCTGGACGTTTCACCTTTGGTCTTTACACCTCCTATTATCACTCACCTGAATTACAATCAATGTGTTGCCAAGAATTACATCCATCACAAGAAACTGCTAAATCGTCATCTAACACAAATTCAGAGCAAGAAGCACAAAGATACACAGAATCAGACATTGTGAAAGTATACATTAATATGAAAATTGACAAAAAAAATTGTGTGTTTTAAAGGCATTTGCTTGTTACTCATTTGTTAAAGGTGCTAATTTATATCAAATATGCAGTTGATTTTTGCAATTGTTGGCCTTTGATTTTCTTTAATCTATTCTATTTAAAAAAGGTATTTGATCTGACAAATCAATTAAATTTTCACAAATTTGTTACAGAGAACTATAAGTAACACACTTGTAAAGGTGCTAATTAATTAATAAACCAGTGTTTCTAATGCTTTATTCAAAATTCTTTCACACTTCTAATTGTTCTTATCTGTTATATAAAAACATATTTTAATTAATCAATATTTTTTTATGGTATTTAATTTTTGGATAACATAAAAAAATGAAGTAATATACACATGTAGACTTATAGATGAAATTCTTTCAGAACTCATATTTATAATTATTTTTCCAGGGAAATTTCGCTATACTTTATATCATGAATGTAATTGTTTGCAAGTATGTGTTATATTATATATAATATTATAACCCATAATGGTACTTATTTCATATATTTATCAAATTTAAAAAATGGAGGTGAAAAGACCAGGGTTTTGAGGGTGAAACGTCTAGGGGTGAAACATCCAGGAAGTGTAAAGACCAAACACCAATTATAATATAACCTTTACAGGGGATGCTAAAGAGACTTTAGCATACTGGTTTTATAGTACTGCTAGACCTGTTCGCTAAAGCCAATCCCATATCGAAAGTCAACCAGAACTGTGACATATTTATGTCATGTTGTAATTCAATAAATTTGCATGATCTGGACAAAAGCTATTTTAACACAGGTAGTTAGATATATTTGGGACACTTCAGTCTATATTTTTGAACACAGAACGTTAGATTGATGAAATAATGCCTCAAAGTTTATCAGTGGATTCACATCTCATAAAATTCACTGCCATTGCTGCCCTAATTATCATGTGACTAGCGAGAATTTAGGTCTGGATACCTTTGCATGTCATTTGGTGACCCGTGACCAAATTGACTATGCCGCGTTCGCGAGATATTTATTTTCATAAAATTATTATATAGTGGAAATTTTCAAGAAAATTGCGGTTTTAGCAAAATTTCAAATTGTCATAACTTTTTTATTTTTCAAAATATTTTAAAAAGGGAAACAGTTCTGAAAAGCTCTAATTAATATACAACTGTCATATAAAATAACATTTTAAAAATGTTCAAAAATCAGCTGGGGTTGCTAATTATTTGGGTGTATTTGGGTATTTGTGCCGCCGCTTTACAGTGACGATGTGACTTAATTGAAACCCAACAGTCTAGCATTAAACAAGTTAAACAAATAAATTGAAATGGTCCATGATATTAATTTTATTTCTTTTCTATTACAGTTTAGAGCAGCGTTATCTTCAGGTTTTACTCAGAGACAGGTTTGATAAAAACAAACAGCTAGCAAAGTTTGATGCTATTAAGGCTTACGAGGATGGTTTGAGGGAATTGCACAATTACGCAGTTCTAAAGCCAAAACAATGTAAGTTAAAGGCTTATAGCTGGTGTGTTATATGCCGTAAAAGTCCTAATTGATGCAACCTGTGCATTTCTGTTGACATCCTTAGTAGTACATATCACCTATTTTTAATCTCAGAACTGTCATAAATGAGCAATCTGTGTTGTTATTACACCAAACCACAAGAAAGAATTTTTGGCTACAACTTCTTGTCCCTCACTACTGTGGGTTTTAATCCCAACAGGAACTTAAAGGATTCTTTCTTGTAAGGTAGATTCTCCAGCTAGCTTACAGAATGTCGGTGGTTCTACTCAGATGCCTGTTTGTCTCCAAAAATGCATAGACTGGCACCAGAGGTCTTCCTCTGCCAGTAAAGCTGGAAAGTCGCCATATAACCTTAAAAAGTCATGTACCTTCTTAAGTCTTTACTTCAAATAATTGCTCACATATTAGGTGGTGCAATATTGTTCAACATTTGAGTGCTCTCTTGAAACTGATACAGAAATATGTTTACAGTCTAACTTGCCCATGCGACCACGTGTATTAAGCGACTTTTGTCTTAAAGGACCACTTTAAATTCCCCCCGATCATTTTCTTTCTTATCATATCTTTAATGTATTAAGCAAATTTTGCTCAATGCTACCAGCGACCGCTAATTAGTCACCTTATTGAGATAAATCTTTTCATTAAACAACCACTTTTACCTGTCAAGTAATTGTGTTTTTAGAGAACACCACCTCGTAATGTCACAAGTGTCAACAATCTGAATCAAAACACAACAAATAAACGTGTAGAAAACTCTATTTCCCCAATCGTTTTAGCGTATGAAGTTAAGTGATGTTTATTATCCAATAATATCGGATAAACAATGCAAGGCTCCACCCCTACTGAGATGGTGTATATGCTTCGCTTGTTGACATTTAGACTGCATTGAATTGACCTTGAACTTGATCAGCAATTAAATTAATCTAAACAATTAGATGTAGTTTGTATATTTCAAATGAAAAAAATGCACAACAGAAAACATCTTCACTAATAAGGGTTTCGTTTTGGAATCAACAGAGAAGTTAAAAAATTCTGGAAAAATGTCAAACATGTACGTAATGGATCAAAACTGTTTTGTCAATAAATATCAGAAAGTTATTTTTTACATTTTGCATCCATTTAGATTATCGGAGCGTACTTATTATTCAACATGTATATAAAAACGAAGTTGAAAAACATTCCCACCGCATAAGAAAGATGTCATTTATAAATTTTGACTTTTATATCATGCTGACTGTCTTAAGAGACCGTTTCATTAAGCGACCGTTTTGGGTGTTTCCCTTACTCGGTCGCTTAATACACGTTTGACTGTATTTTGTTTTTAATTTTTTGTGCCCCCACGTTAGTGGCGGGCATTTAGATTTACCCTTGTCCGTCCGTCCGTCCGTTCACTTTTGTGTCGCACGTAACTCAAAAAGTATTTGACCTAGAGTCATGAAACTTTACAGGAATGTTGATCAGCATGTGTAGTTGTGCACCTGGGTATTTTCGTCTGGATATTTTTAGTATTTTCAGAGTTATTGCCCTTGACTTAGTAAAATTTTGCAATTTTCAACTTGTGTCGCATGTAACTCAAAAAGTATTTGACCTAGAGTCATGAAACTTTACAGGAATGTTGATCAGCATGTGTAGTTGTGCACCTGGGTATTTTCATGTGGATATTTTTAGTATTTTCAGAGTTATTGCCCTTGACTTAGTAAAATTTTGCAATTTTCAACTTGTGTCGCATGTAACTCAAAAAGTATTTGACCTAGTGTCATGAAACTTTACAGGAATGTTAATCAGCATGTGTAGTTGCGACCTGAGTATTTTCGTCTGGATATTTTTAGTATTTTCGGAGTTATTGCCCTTGACTTAGTAAAATTTTGCAATTTTCAACTTGTGTCGCATGTAACTCCAAAAGTATTTTACCTAGAGTCATGAAACTTTACAGGAATGTTGATCAGCATGTGTTGTTGTGCACCAGGTATTTTCGTCGTGATTTATATAGTATTTTTAGAGTTATTGCCCTTTACTTAGAAATTTTTTGCAATTTTCAACTTGTGTCGCAAGTTACTCAAAAAAGGATTTTACATAGTCATTAAACCTTATGGGTAGCTTGCTCAGCATATTTAGATTTGCACCTGGGGTTTCGCTTGTGGATTTATCTAGTATTTGTAGAGTTATTTCCCTTGACTTAGTAAAAAGATTGACAGAACTGTGGCGCAGTGGGGGCACCCGTGTCCTATGGACACATTTCTAGTTCTCTCATAATTTTGTCTTCTCCCGTGGACTGTTTCTTCTGACATTTCTTGTTATATTTTCTGTTTACAGTTCCCCATTCCCCAGGTGGAGTAGCTTATGGAAGAGAACCACCAGATCCGGACTATGTAAGTGTCAAGATTTTCTAGCAGAAACAATTTTAGCTCCACTATACAAAGTATATGGAGAAATGTCCTACCCGCCCCGGCGTTGGTGTCCGCGTCCAGATTTCAGATTAAAGTTTTGGTGCAGTAAAATATTTTTGTGCCCCCACTTTAGTGGCGGGCATTTAGATTTACCCTTGTCCGTCCGTCCATCTGTCCGTCATTCCGTCCGTTCACTTTTGTGTCGCACGTAACTCAAAAAGTATTTGACCTAGAGTCATGAAACTTTACAGGAATGTTGATCAGCATGTGTAGTTGTGCACCTGGATATTTTTAGTATTTTCAGAGTTATTGCCCTTGACTTAGTAAAATTTTGCAATTTTCAACTTGTGTTGCATGTAACTCAAAAAGTATTTGACCTAGAGTCATGAAACTTTACAGGAATGTTGATCAGCATGTGTAGTTGTGCACCTGGGTATTTTCCTCTGGATATTTATAGTATTTTCAGAGTTATTGCCCTCAACTTAGTAAAATTTTGCAATTTTCAACTTGTGTCGCACGTAACTCAAAAAGTATTTGACCTAGAGTCATGAAACTTCACAGGAATATTGATCAGCATGTGCAGTTGTGCACCAGGTATTTTCGTCTGGATTTAATAAGTATTTTTAGAGTTATTGCCCTTGACTTAGAAAATTTTTGCAATTTTCAACTTGTGTCGCAAGTTACTCAAAAAAGATTTGACATAGGAGTCATTAGACCTTATGGGCAGGTTGCTCAGCATATTTAGATTTGCACCTGGGGTTTCGCTTGTGGATTTATCCAGTATTTCAAGAGTTATTTCCCTTGACTTAGTAAAAAGATTGACAGAACAGTGGCATGGTGGGGGCACCCGTGTCCTATGGACACATTTCTAGTTCACTTTAACTTTGTCATTTCTAAAGGTATCAACTTCAAACTTCAAATATATGTTCCTTATCATCAACCACATCTTATGTGACAAGGTTCATAACTAGCACCAATATTTTCAGATTTATCTCCCCTTGAACATAGAATTTTCCTTAAAAATACTATTTATTACTGTTACTTCTTTATTATGCTCCCCGAAAACTTTCGGGGAAGCATAAAGTCGGCGCCTTGTCCGTCTGTCCGTCCGTTGTCTTGTCCGGAGCATAACTTGAAAACCCTCGGAGATAATATGTTTAAACTTCATACAGTGGTAAAGGGCATTGAGGGGGAGTGCAGTGTCAAAGAACCATAACTCTATTTTGCCCGGTTTTTGAATTATCTCCCCTTATAGAAAAATCTTGTCCGGGGCATAACTCTAAAAGTATAAGAGATATCAACATGAAACTTTGTAGGTAAATAGACCTCAATGGGTAGATGTGCAGTGCATAAGAACAATAACTTTTTTTTGTCCTTATTCTGGAGTTATTGCCCTTTGTTAATTTCAACACTTTGAACTTTGTCCGGAACATAACTGTAAAACTATAAGAGATATCAAGATGAAACATTGTAGGTAGATAAATCTCATTGAGTATAAGTACAGTGCAAAAGAACCATAACTCTGTTAAGCCTCATTTTTGAATTATCTCCCCTTTTAGAAAAATCTTGTACTGGACATAGCTGTAAAACTATAAGAGATATCAACATGAAACTTTGTAGGTAGATATATCTCAATGGGTAGATGTGCAGTGCACAAGAATCATAACTCTGCCTTGCCTAATTCTGGAGTTATTGCCCTTTGTTTATTTTTACTTTTTGAAGTTGTCTGGAACATAACTCGGAAACCATAAGAGATATCAACAAGAAACTTTGTAGGTTGATAGATCACAGTGATGAGAAGTGCAATGCAAAGAACAGTAACTCTGCCTTTCCTAGTTTTGGAATTATTGCACTTTGAACTTTTTCCAGGGACATAACTCTGAAACTACAAGAGGTGTACTTTCCTGTGTCCAAAACCTATTCGGGGAGCATCACCCGGCTCAAACCGGGCTCTTGTTATCCCCCGCCGAAAAGGCGGCGGGGGATATAGAAATAGTCTCCGTCCGTCATTCCGTCCGACCTTCCGTCCTTCCGTCCAACATTTTTGTCCGGAGCATATCTCTAAAAGTATATGAGTTATCAACTTGAAACTTCATAGGTGGATAGACCTCATTGAGGAGGAGTGCAGTGCACAAGAATGATAACTCTACCCTGCATAATTTTTGAGTTATTGCCCTTTGTTTTTTTTTTAAAATTGATTTTTGTCCAGAGCATAACTCCATAAGCCTATGAGATATCAACATGAAACTTCATAGGTGCATATATCTCACTCAGGAGGTGTGCAGTGCACAAAAATGATAACTCTACCTTTCATAATTTTTGAGTTATTGCCCTTTGTTATTTTTCATACTTAATTTTTCACCTGAATGGAGCAAAACTCAAAAAGTTTTTGAGATATCAACATGAAATGTCATAGTTGGATAGATCTTATTGAGGAGGAATGTTGTGCGCAAGAATGATAACTCTTCCCTATAACAATTTTTGAGTAATTGCCCTTTGTTCTTTTTCATGCTATTTTGTCCAGAGCTTATTTCAAAAAGTATTTGAGGTATCAACTTGAAACTTCATAGGTGGATGGATCTCATTGAGGAGGAGTGCATTGCACAAGAATGATAACTCTACCCTGCATTATTTTTTGAGTTAATTGCCCTTTGTTATTTTTCAGAATTATTTTTGTCCAGAGCATTACTAAAAAAGCCTTTGAGATATCAAAATGAAACTTCATAGGTGCATAGATCTCACTCAGGAGGTGTGCAGTGCACAAGAATGATAACTCTACCTTTAATAATTTTTGAGTTATTGCCCTTTGTTATTTTTCATACCCAATTTTTCACCCGAGTGGAGCTTAACTCAAAAGTGTTTGAGATGTCAACATTAAATGTCATAGGTGGATAGATTTTATTGAGGAGGAATGCTGTGCACAAGAATGATAACTTTTCCCTGCACAATTTTTGAGTTATTGCCCTTTGTTCTTTTTCATACTATTTTGTCCGGAGCTTATGTCAAAAAGTATTTGAGGTATCAACTTGAAACTTCATAGGTGGATGAATCTCATTGAGGAGGAGTGGCGTGCACAAGAACGATAACTCTACCCTGCATAATTGTTTAGTTATTGCCCTTTTTTATTTTTCAAAATTAATTTTTGTCCAGAGCATAACTCTAAAGGCCTTTGAGATATCATTATGAAACTTCATAGGTTCTTAGATCTCACTCAGGTGTGCAGTGCACAAGAATGATAACTCTACCTTTTATAATTTTTGATTTATTGCCCTTTGTTATTTTTCATACTTAAGTTTTCAATTCAATTTTTTTTCAAAATGTATTTGAGGTATCAACTTGAAACTTCATAGGTGGATAGATTTTACTGAGGAGGGATGCAGCACACAAGAATGATAACCTACCCTGCATTATTTTTCAGTTATTGCCCTTTGTTATTTTCAGCCATCAGTATTCACATAGGTTTCAAATCTGTAATCACTATAGCCATCAGTTTTCATTACCAAAAGACCTCTTAAAATGGAATTATTCTACTCTACTACATATACATTCTTCCAATGAGCAAACACATTCGGCGGGGGATGGCCATGTTGACATGGTTCTTGTTTCTTAAGGGATCAACCTCATTCTTCAAATATATGTACCTTATCATCATCCCCATCTTATGTGACAAGGTTCATAACTCTAGCACCAATATTTTCAGATTAATCTCCCCTTGAACTTAGAATTTTCATCAAAAAATACTATTTTTTACTGTTACTTCTTTATTTCTTAAGGGATCAACCTCATACTTCAAATATATGTACCTTATCATCATCCCCATCTTATGTGACAAGGTTTATAACTCTAGCACCAATTTTTTCAGATTTATATCCCCTTGAACTTAGAGTTTTCCTTAATATTATTTTTTACTGTTACTTATTTATTTCTAAAGGATCAACTTCATACTTCAAAATATATGTACCTTATCATCATCCACATCTTATGTGACAAGGCTTCATAACTCTAGCACCAATATTTTTTAAAGAATTATCTCCCCATAAACTTAGATTGTTTTTACTAGAAAAACTGTTATATTTTTACTATAACTTTTTTAGTTTTAAAGGTATCTACCTCAAAACTCCTTATCATCAATTAATTTTATTGTGACAAGGTCCGTAACTCTTATAGCAATATTTTCAGATTTATCTCTCTTTGAACTTAGGATTTTCTTTAAAAAATATTGTAACTTTTTTACTTTTTAAGGTATCTACTTCAAACTTCAAATATATTTCTTATCATTACACAAATGTTGTGTGGCAAGGTCCATAACTCTAGCATGACTATTTCTATAATTATTCCCTTGATCTTGGAATTTATGTTAACAAATGTTTTTTTGTTACTATAGCTTAACACATAATTATATATAATTGATTTTTCGTTCATAGTTTTGTTCTCCTTTACTGCGTCCAACGTATTTTTATAGTCGAGCTTCACTGTCTCCTGTGACAGCTCTTGTTATATTGTTTATTAAACTACATGTAACAAATAAATTTTTAGTAGTTGTGGTACAGGGGAAAATTTACTGCCATAATATAATAGTTAAATATGATTTATATACAGTTAGTAACTCAAGTTTCCCACCGCATTATACATGTAAGTTCTTTTTTTACAATTTTCTGATTTTCAAAACAAACAGCAACAAATACTTTTATTTTGAGTAATCAGGCTTCGGTTTCCTAAGAAAGAAAAAGAGAACTGTAAATAAGGGATGGATTGTCTTCATACTTATTGGCATATAAGTTAATGAAACTTTGTTTTCCCCTGGAATACTATTTGCCATCAGTGAAGAGCTATGACAGTCAGTACATCCACTGTACACTGTTACAACACCAACGTTGTAATTTTTTTAGCTCGACTATTCGATAAAATAAGTAGAGCTATTGTAGTCCACCCGAGCTGTTGGTGTCGGCATTTCCGCGTTACCACTTATGTTTAAGTTTTTGTAAGACCTCAAATATTTTCAAAAAAGTCTATTGACATATGGCTTTCTGAACTTTGCACAGCTGTTCACCATCATGAACCCAACCTTTAGACAGGAGGAGGTAACTGTATCAAGCATTTTGACCAGAATTATGCCCATTTTTCAACTTAGAAATTTACATTTAGTTTTGCATACAACCTCAGATATTTTCATATTCTATTGAAACAAATTTGAAATTTTATTACTCTTCTTTGAAGCATATAATAGGACTCTCTCCAAGGCCTAATAACTGAAACATGGATTTAAAGAAAATTTTTTGTCCTTTTGTTATTAACTTAGAAAAGTTTACATTATCAAGGCTCTTTTACTATCAAGCACTAAGAATAGTGAGCATTGCTGTCCTACCGACAGCTCTTTGTTCTTATTTTACTCTCTTGTAAGTTGTGAAGAGATTGGTTAAAAACACAGAAAGTTTAATTATATTTAAATGAAACTTTCTTTTGTTTAGATTTTTGATGGATGGCATCCACTAGAGAAGGCTAAGTACCCTCCAGAATACTTCGCTAAGCGTGATGTGAGAAAGAGGGAATTTTTAGAACGTGAAGCAAAATTACATAGAAGAATATGAAAAATCAAAGAAAGAATTAAATTGAAAACTCTTAAATCTCTACAACCGTGTTAACAAAAGTGCTTTTTGAACAGATACAGTCTAACAATCTTTCTGAAAAATCATTGATATTAACATTCTTTCATTAAAAAAACAACAACAACAACTGCCAAATAACAATTTGATAGAATTGTGAAGGGCTATGTGAGCTGATAGTGTAAAACAAATGTGTGACTCATTGTGTTTTTGAAGTTATTGATTAAATTATTAAAATTGACTTGTTATTGCTTGTAGACTCCTTTTCTTAGACGTTTTACTTATAGCTGGCCTGATCAAGGAATTCTGAAAGTCCTCTTTAGATCTTAATTATTTTACACTTTTATTGTGTGTTGTTATTTGCTATTTGTTTAAACAATATCTCAGCTTACACTGGGTCATATAATAACCAAATTTGCTTTAATTGATGCTTGGTAGTGTATTTTCAGATGGCAAGAACATTATCACATCTGTTTCATACTAAGTATGACATGTGAGGTTAAAAATAGTGGTTTAAAGCTGCATGCCTCCATATGAGCCAAAATATTCAAGAAAATCAAACTTGAGAAAAATTATAATATGATTTTTGAAAAAAAAGTTTAAAGATTCAAAAAATAATTTAACATATTATATGTACAATTAATGACTGATTTTGCAGTATTTATCACCATATTTCAGCTGCATTAGCAAGGGCTATTTTTGCATACATTGTATTATGTAATTTATATGGATTGTAAAGTGCCATTTGCAATGTGTAAACTACTTTTTTGTTCACTTAACAACATTTTACTGTTAAATACATTTTCAAAATGAAAATTAGCATGAATCTGGAGGATGATATTTTAGAAACTTGTCAAGAGACAAGATTTTTAGATTACTTATTTTGCAGCTTTCTGATGTTCTTAACAAGTGTTAAACTTCACGCTGATCGAGCCAACATTGTCATTATTTTATGTGTTTACACTAAAAGAATTTGTTTTAGGTATCTTCTTTAAAGTTCAACATCCTTGAGTTTAGATGTTTAGTATGTAGCTTTGTTCAACAGTAAAGTAAACCACTAATAAAATACTGTTACTTGTAAAATACACTTCAGTAGAACCACCGACATTGTAAAAGCTAGCTGGATAGTTATCTCTTAGGTAAGAGTCCAAAGAAGCTGGTATGGCTCGAACCTACACCGGTGGAAATCAACTGGTTTTAAGTCGATGACATTAATGATTAAACACTCGGCCACAGACACCCTGCATAGTAGAGATCTTTGTATCTGAACTTCTGTTGAAGACCACTAGTTTTATTGTTTCAAAGATTTATATGCATTTTGAAAGTCTTGCCTATGTACCAAGAATTTGAAAGTCTTGCCTATGTACCAAGAATTTGTAACAAGAATTCCTAACGTCCTCTGCCTAAGGGAAGTTTTACATGAAGCACACAATAGTATTATTTCAAAAGTATGAGGGATGAATCTAAACTTTCAGAGCATAATCTTGATGAATGATAGATATGCACATGCAACAAAAAATTTATTATTGTAATATGATTAAATAACCCCTGTATATGTGCCAGTAGAAGAACATTTTATCCTTAATGATGAGCACATAAAGGGAGATAATTTGAGAACTATTTAAGACAAAGTTATGGTTCTCTTGCAGTGCACTCCCTCGCACTGTCATTTATTTATATTTAAAACTTAGCTGGAAAATCCAATACTTTTCTAAGTTTTCTCTGGACAAGGAAAATACAGACCATGTTAAACTTTGACCTTTAAGTGTGACCTAACCTTGGTGAACGAGGTCTGGGTGTTGTGCATGACACATGGTGAACATTTGTGCAGAACTTATTTCAAAATCTTCAGGTAGGAAAAGTTGTAGAACTTACACAAATCAGTCCCTATGACAGACCCTCTTATTAAAGATGTGCCCTTAAAGTGTGACTGACATAAGTAGAAGTTTGGGTGTTTTTAACCCCCCCCACCCCCCCAAGTATGGGAGGCATATAATTTTTGTAGCATCAGTCTTTCTGACATTCCATCCCACCAATGTCTGGTTTATCACTTTGTCATTTATGGATGGATAATAAAATAATTTTGTATGAATATGTAGCACATTGAGAATATTGTGGCATGCCAGATCTAGAACTGTAGCCCAAAGGTCAAGGGCACACTTTGACTTAAAAGGAAATTCATCATAGATTGATGTTTTTGCTTGGTCAACAATTGTGTCATCCCTGGATAGATTTTAATAAATTTGCATAATTGTGATGGATAGTAATGAAGTGTGTGTGTTTATGTTTTTATGTAATTTTAACAAAGGACACATGGGGACGGTGTACGGTTTTAAAATTGATTACTGAAAAAAAATCAGGGCTGCAAGCATACATGTTTAAGGAAAAACATGATCTTGTTTGTAATTGAAAAACAAACAGTTGGTTTTCAGTCAATTTATTCAAAGTAAAGGAATAAGTAAGAATTTCAACTTGTAAATTGCAACACAGTTAGTTAAAACTTACAACAGCATCAACTAGATTTAACATGCATCTTTAATTATAACTATTTCAATATAAAAATAGTGATATTTTTATTATGTGCGATATATTTGAATATCGAAACAACAAAACAACTGCATGTAAATGCTTTATTTCTTCTTCAAAAATTTCTCTAAAACCCCTGTGGAGTTTGGTTTATATTACAAAATTCATTTACATATGAACATTTCTAATGAATATTAAAACTCTATAATGTGTATACTTGTTCCTTTTTTAAACACAAAATTATTAGTTAAAAGTAGTTCACTTCTATTTATCATCTTAAAGTTAATCTCATAGTAGAGAACAATGCATTCAAGAGTAAATCTTCTAAACAAAACTAATTTTAAGTTCATAAAATAACATAACAGATTGTCAATTCCCTATGGATTTTTCAGCTATGAATAGGTTAATGGTTTGCCATATTTTTTCACTGTACTTAGCACATGATAATTTCACTGTTCCCCACATCTTTAGTGTAACATAACACTCCGAGTATTCTATATACAGTTTTGTATATAAAAATTTGCCTTATTCACTTGTACATTTATGTATTATTCGTAAAGCAAGTATACCACCAAAATCTTAAATACTAGTAATTCACTGTTGCTGTTGTTGAATATGTTGTTTAGCTATCAAGATAACATTATTTCTGCTAGACAAGGAAAAATCTGGCTCAGAATCACTGCTACTAGATATAGAGTCACTTGAATCGTCATAGTCTGTAAGTCCAGGTAATGCACGTGGTAGAACACCTATAACTCGTGCTAACTGTGAAGAATTGCTGCTGGAAGTTGTCTTTTCTTCAGTTTTCTGTGACCTACAGAAATAAATATATAATATCTGATTTACTTAGTTATAAATACAAATGTACATTCAAAGGCACTTTTTATATATATCACTATATGTGGGCCACTGTCCTAGCTAAACTACCTCTTGCATTTCATATTGGGAAAGGACAAAAACTAATCAAGAGGGCCATGATAATCCTAAAGTGCTCTTCTGAGATTCATCACTAGAAATGATCAATGCAGAAATCACATCTTGGCATGTCAAATTTGAACCCAGCTGCCTGGCATAGAGGTCAAACAGGAAATGCATCATGCCCAATTTCTATGGTCTATACAGTTTTTAGTATTTAAGAAGATTTTACCTGCCATTCTCATACACAAGAAATACGTAATACATTAGTGACCATTTTAAGAGGTCCACTGGGCAATACTTCATGCTAAATATCTTCGCTCAGTCATTTTTAGTTTTTCCATTTTTTAGTTTGAAATGTGTTTCCTTTTTAACCCTTTACCTCATATATACGCGAAACAACGCACTTTCGACCCCCCCCCCCCCCATTTTTTTAGGCCTCAATATTGAAAAAATGTCCTATTTTGGCCCCAAACACATGTTTTCGTTTAAGAAATGTTGTTAAAAAAAGTGACCATTTTTCGGCGCCATCCCCCATCCAAATATTACATCAGGGGGTTGCCAGAAGGGGGATGTGCCCCCTTCTGTTTGGGGGGTTTGAAGGGGGGCGGAGTCCCCCTGATCGCCAAGAAAATTTTGGACTTGTGAGAGGCTAAAAATGACCCCAGGTCGATCATAATGTAACGTGTAACCAACGCTGAAAAGCCTTTGACTCTATCTCAATCCCTTGAGAAGTTGCAGCACTTTGAAATAAATTTTGATGGAAAAAATCGAGGCAAAATAGTGATTTCTGGCAATTTTGAGATGTCCCCTCGTTGCCATGGTAACAGGAAATTTAAGACTGAGCATGTCGTTACAAAGGCAATGGTCCAGTCAACATTTGTGCCAAGTTTGATTAGTATTGAAGCATTTTTCATAGTTTCATAGCAGTTTGAAATTGTAACAGGAGGCTTTTCAGTGAAAACGGCCATTTTTCACAATATGCTCATGGGGGAAAGGGTTAATTCTATATTTTAGAAACCCCACAGCTTGGGCCAATTTTGACCCAAGGGGCATGATTTATAGAATTTTTGTAAAAAGGTTTTAATGCAAAGATAGATAGTAAGTGAAGGGACTTTACTCTAGACTGTATTAACATAATTTGCTAGCACTACTCATTTTAACGCAACCACTAAGTTATGGTAGCCTGAACAAGTTTGTATGCCATTCAATTTCACCAATTATTTTGATTCTGAATTCCCTCAAACTACTTATACACTGTTTTAAGTTACATCAGGGTAAAACTTGTTAAGAAGGCTAAGAATTTATGCTTAATGTGATCTCAATCAATCAATCTTACATTCAAGGAAATAGCTATCAAGATATATAAATAATTAATTTTTAGCATTGGTAACGAGAGAAGAATTATATTGTAACCAAGTACAGTGCAAACCGTGGTAATGATTTGAATTATATATCGTTAAACTCTAGCCAATTTATCATTAAAGTGACATTATTCTCATTTTTTCGGCTGTTTAGCTGAATTGACTATACAGTAGAACTTCTATGAGTTGAACCTTGATTAGTCGATTTTCTCGATGTGTAGAAGTAAACTGAAAGTCCCGTTTTTATTCCGCTATTTCTTTCTTATAAAAACCTGTTTATGAGTTGAAAATTTATGTGTCGAATTTTTCGATGGGTCGAAATTTTATGGTGGTCCTTAAAGAATAAATAGAGTACAATTTACCACAAATAAGTCAAAATTCTCTGATTGGTTTTACACCTTCAATCTTGAGACATTTTTCACACCTTATCTGGCCGTGAAGACAATTTCCGATAAACTTGTGTGACAGGTGTAAATTACACTGTCATGTCTTCAAACAGCATTTGTATGCGTTTAAATGTGTGAAAAAAAAATTGTTACCATTCAAATTGTCTTAGTTGTTATTGAAAGTAAAGAGTAAAAACTACTTTCATTTGAAAACTTCCATGACCCGTTGTTGCGTGATAATCACAGCAAAATATTTACAACTAGAAATGTGTCCATAGGACACGGATGCCCCCACACGCCACTGTTCTGTCAATCTGACTCTATGTCAAATATTTTTTGGACTACATGTGCCACAAGTTGAAAACTAAAAATCAACAAAGGGCCATAATTCTGTTAAATTTGGTCGCAGCAAAAATTCCTTCCTTTACTACCATCTACACATTAAGGTTGTTAATCCCTGGAAGTTTAAGCAAAATCTGCCACCCGGTTTAAGAGGAGTTGCGTTCACAAAATTTCTACATAGTATATAATGAAAAAATCTACAAAGGGCCATAATTCTGTTAAATTTGGTTGCAGCAAAAATTCCTTCCTTTACTACCATCTACACATTAAGGTTGTTCATCCCTGGAAGTTTAAGCAAAATCTGCCATCCGGTTTAAGAGGAGTTGCATTCACAAAATTTCTACATAGTATATAGTGAAAAAATCAACAAAGGGCCATAATTCTGTTAACTTTGGTCGCAGCAAAAAGCTCCCTTTACTACCATCTACACATTAAGGTTGTTCATCCCTGGAAGTTTAAGCAAATTCTGTTATCCGGTTTAAGAGGAGTTGCGTTCACAAAATTTCTACATAGTATATAGTGAAAAAATCAACAAAGGGCCATAATTCTGTGAAATTTGGTCGCAGCAAATATTCCTTCCTTTACTACCATCTACACATTAAGGTTGTTAATCCCTGGAAGTTTAAGCAAAATCTGTTAACCGGTTTTAAGAGGAGTTGCATTCACAAAATTTCTACATAGTATATAGTGAAAAAATCAACAAAGGGCCGTAATTCTGTTAAATTTGGTCGCAGCAAAAATTCCTTCCTTTAATACCATCTACACATTAAGGTTGTTCATCCCTGGAAGTTTAAGCAAAATCTGCCATCCGGTTTAAGAGGAGTTGCATTCACAAAATTTCTACATAGTATATAGTGAAAAAATCAACAAAGGGCCATAATTCTGTTAACTTTGGTCGCAGCAAAAAGCTCCCTTTACTACCATCTACACATTAAGGTTGTTCATCCCTGGAAGTTTAAGCAAATTCTGTTATCCGGTTTAAGAGGAGTTGCGTTCACAAAATTTCTACATAGTATATAGTGAAAAAATCAACAAAGGGCCATAATTCTGTGAAATTTGGTCGCAGCAAATATTCCTTCCTTTACTACCATCTACACATTAAGGTTGTTAATCCCTGGAAGTTTAAGCAAAATCTGTTAACCGGTTTAAGAGGAGTTGCATTCACAAAATTTCTACATAGTATATAGTGAAAAAATCAACAAAGGGCCGTAATTCTGTTAAATTTGGTCGCAGCAAAAATTCCTTCCTTTAATACCATCTACACATTAAGGTTGTTCATCCCTGGAAGTTTAAGCAAAATCTGCCATCCGGTTTAAGAGGAGTTGCATTCACAAGATTTCGGGACGGACGGACACTCGGATGGACAAGTGCAACGCTATATGCTCCCACTCTGTGGGGGCATAAAAAGCTGATTTAGTTATCGCCCTTTCCTATTGTTATGCCTTTGGTAACATCCTTGTATACTTCAATGGGTGGAAATTTTGTCATGAAATTGAAACAGATTCATGAGACAAAGCCTCGATAGTCGAAGTCTCGATGTGTCAAAGTTTTTACGCAAGTCCCTTCAACTTCAACTAACCGAAGTTCTACTGTATATCTAAAAAAATTACTATATATTGTCAATGATAGATAAAAAATAACTGCCTAAAAAAAAATGTCCCACTCTTCTAATCAACTGTACATTAACGAAACATTCCGATAGATATTTATAGAATTTTCTCTCGAGGTGGGTTTTTGATTCTACACATGAACTAGACTATAAACTTAAAAGAAATTATGGCAAAATGTAAAGTTATTTTGACTTTAACCAGTACACCCACCATGTAACTGAGATGACCATAATGTCACTTTAATAGTTCAAGCAACAACCACTATTAGATATATATTGTAATAAAACTTACTTCTCTTGTATAGCATCATCAGCACTTTCTGTCTTTGTCTTTTTACTGACAGAAGTTTCTTCTGACCTGTTAATAATGTAATGAGATTGCTAAATATCTTTTAAGAAATTGGGATACATTTTAAAAAAAAATGTTTAATTGTTAAAATGGTTTAATTTGAATGGAATTATTCAAATTAGATTGTATGCAACAGAATCAAATAATATTACCTGCACCAAAGCCTTTTATGTTGAGTTTAACTTTAAAGTTACATAATCAAGGGTAACGCAAGCTTCAAAATTTACAACACTAAAAGTTTGCAAATAATAATGATAAAATAGATTTATTTTAATTAAAAGCCACAAAGTTCAACTTTGTACAACTATTCAAAGTTCTGGAAATGGCTTATGTGGGGAGTTCAATAAGTTCGTAGAACTCAGAATTTTCTTTAGTTTAGTTTATATGAATTTATTTTAGTTCGAAACACTCTAAAATCTGTTCCTGTAACCAACCAATACTAAGCAATGAGTTAAAGTTTCTTGCTCACTGAAACAATGGTTTGCCTATGATGGGGTTTGAACCCTTGCAGCAAGCAATCCTCAGATTTCTAGTCTGACATGATTATCACTTGACCATGCCGCTACACACTATACATTTCAAGATTTTTTCTTCATTTTTAGGCAATATTAACCTTTGTCAGTTGAATAATGACAGCCATTCAGTTAACATGTACATTTTTGAATTACTTTTTGTTTGAAATTCCATAGGCAAAAACAAAAAGTCCTCCCCTCCCTTGATTTTTATCAATGTTTTAAATTACCTATAAAATTTCTTACAGTTGAATCTTCTCACTAACAGACTTAAATCTAATAGAAACACACAAAGAAGTTACCCTTTTCGTTTGACTGCTCCAGCAAGGAGGGACATTTGAGATTTTTTACTTTGCTGCTGTACTATAGGTCGTGATTTTTTATCGTCCTGTTTATTTTCTGTCATCTTTATCACTTTAGCATCTTGGTGAAAGTCAAGAAAAATAATTGATTTTTATTGCTTACATGTATATTTAAGCAAACACTTTTTCAATAACAAATAACTGCACATATATATTACAACTAGAACTCCGCCAGTCGGATGTGTCGCCTTGTGAACTGTAAAGCTGCCACTTAGGCATTATCTTCTTAAATAATTATATAAAAAATTTATAATCACCACTATTACAATGTACATGTACCTTGAACTTTAGTGGCATTTGAACTGATTTTAACAATGTTACTTCAGGATTGATGTAGCTTGAATAGTTTTTATTGTGTAGGAGAATTGGTCCTAATAATTAACAAAGGGCAATTACTCTAAAATTCTGAAGTACAGAGTACCAGTTCTTATGCACTGCTCTTCTTCCCAATGAGATCTATCATCATGAAGTTTCAAGTTCCTAGCTTTTATAGTTTAGGTGAAATCAACAAAGGGCAATAACTTAACAAGAGGGCCATGATGGCCCTGAGGTTGCTCACCTGTATATAGCCCCCCCCCCCCCCGGGGGCCAATTTTTACCCAAGGGCTTTTATTTGAACAGACTTGGTAGACACCCATAAGAAGATGTTTCATGCTAAACATCTAAGTTCTAGCTCATTGGGTTTTTTAAAAGAAGATTTTTTAAGTTTTTACTATACACATATAGTTAAAAACAATGACACCTCTGGGGCAGGGCCAGTTTTGACCCCCGGGCTTTTATTTGAACAAACTTTGTAGATATTTACTTAAAAATGTTTCATGTATAATATCTAAACTCAAGCTATTTGGGTTTTTTCAAAGAAGATTTTTAAGTTTTTGCTATACACATATAAGGAAAATCAATGACCCCCGGGGCGGGCCAGTTTTGACCCCAGGGCTTTTATATGAACATACTTGGTAGACACCCATTAGAACATGTTTCATGCTAAATATCTTAGCTCTTGCTCTTTGAGTTCTTTAAAAGAAGATTTTTTAAGTTTTTACTATATACATATAGGGAAAATCAATGACCCCCTGGGGCGGGGCCAATTTTGACCCCAGGGCTTTTATTTGAACAAACTTGGTAGACACTCATTAGAAGATGTTTCATGCTAAATATCTTAGCTCTTGCTCTTTGGGTTCTTTAAAAGAAGATTTTTTAAGTTTTTACTATATGCATATAGGGAAAATCTATGACCCCCTGGGACAGGGCCAATTTTGACCCCAGGGCTTTTATTTGAACAAACTTGGTAGACATTCACTAGAAAATGTTTCATGTCAAATATCTAAGCTCTACCTCTTACGGTTCTTTAAAAGAAGATTTTTTAAGTTTTTACTATATGCATATAGGGAAAATCAATGATCCCCCGGGGCGGGGCCAATTTTGACCCCAGGGCTTTTATTTGAACAAACTTGGTAGACACTCACTAGAAGATATTTCATGTCAAATATCTTAGCTCTAGCTCTTTGGGTTCTTTAAAAGAAGATTTTTTAAGTTTTTACTATATGCATATAGGGAAAATCTATGACCCCCTGGGACAGGGCCAATTTTGACCCCAGGGCTTTTATTTGAACAAACTTGGTAGACATTCACTAGAAAATGTTTCATGTCAAATATCTAAGCTCTACCTCTTACGGTTCTTTAAAAGAAGATTTTTTAAGTTTTTACTATATGCATATTGGGAAAATCAATGATCCCCCGGGGCGGGGCCAATTTTGACCCAAGGGCTTTTATTTGAACAAACTTGGTAGACACTCACTAGAAGATATTTCATGTCAAATATCTTAGCTCTAGCTCTTTGGGTTCTTTAAAAGAAGATTTTTTAAGTTTTTACTATATGCATATAGGGAAAATCTATGACCCCCTGGGGCAGGGCCAATTTTGACCTCAGGGCTTTAATTTGAACAAACTTGGTAGACACTCATTAGAAGATGTTTCATGCTAAATATCTTAGCTCTAGCTCTTTGGGTTCTTTAAAAGAAGATTTTTTAAGTTTTTACTATATGCATATAGGGAAAATCAATGACCCCTGGGGCGGGGCCAATTTTGACCCAGGGCTTTTATTTGAACAAACTTGGTAGACATTCACTAGAAGATGTTTCATGCCAAATATCTAAGCTCTAGCTTTAACAGTTCTTTAAAAGAAGATTTTTTAAGTTTTTAACTATATACATATACGGAAAATCAATGACCCCCCGGGCCGGGGCCAATTTTGACCCCAGGGCTTTTATTTGAACAAACTTGGTAGACACTCACTAGAAGATGTTTCATGCCAAATATCTTAGCTCTAGCTCTTTGGGTTCTTTAAAAGAAGATTTTTTAAGTTTTTACTATATGCATATAGGGAAAATCAATGACCCCCTGGGGCCGGGCCAATTTTGACCCTAGGGCTTTTATTTGAACAAACTTGGTAGACACTCATTAGAAGATGTTTCATGCCAAATATCTAAGGCTCTAGCTCTTACGGTTCTTTAAAAGAAGATATTTAAAGATTTTTCTTTCGGTTGCCATGGCAACCAGAGTTCTGCATGAAATGGAATTCTTTGAACAATCTTGATAGAGCTTCATACAAAGAGTATTCCTGCCAAGTTTCATTAACATTGGCCTTGCGGTATCATAAAAGATGTCCTTAGAATATTTAAAATGTGGACGGACGACAGACGACGGACGCCATTTGGTTGGCCATCCTAAAAGCTCACCTGCACTTTGTGCAAGGTGAGCTAAAAATTAAGAAGCGCAGAGTAACTAACTATTCTTGTGCACTGCACTTTAGGTCATTGAAAGAAGCATGCACACCAAGTTTAGTGTCAATCAGACTTATAGTGACTGAGTTATGCTCCAGACAAGCTTTAGGGAGCGCCGGCACCGACAACGACAAAAGTAACCCCTATATGTTGCCTTTTTCAAGGCCACACAAAAAAGTCATCAATACAAAATAAAATACACCAACTTGTGGTAAAACCCATGGCAAAGTACATGTAATACAGTAACAGAATGAAGGTAAAAGATGCAAACAAACATTAAAGTTTTCACAGTAATATTTCCATGGATGAATTGAAAAAGTCTAAAGAAATCACAACTTGAATTAGGAAAACAGCATAATTTTAAAGGTATTCAAATATATCCAGAGAAAAAGTGATCTGAGTATCAACCATGAGCTAACTTGGTGGGTTTATGATATTATTACCAACAGTTCACTGTATGTTCAAATATCAAATTGTCAAATTGTAAGTATGTAAAGGATATTTTCATCTCTGAAATGATATTTTCTTCCTCTTGTTTACGCTCCTGTATAATTTCTTGTTGTCTTTCTGTACAAAAGTCCAGAAATTCTGTTTCATCAGCATCTAAGCGTGCCACTTGATTTCCTGCAATTACAACCTCTTATTCAAGCTTGTTCAATTCTATAAAGACAGTAACTCTAAACTTTTCTTTAATCCAAAATGTTTTCATTTATTTCAAATGAACATAATTTTCTTATGTCATAGTCTAAGACCTGCATGTACTGAACAATCATTATTATTTGTGGGGAACTAATTTTCATGGTTTTCGTGGATACATGTAGGGCTCAATCCACAACTTTAAGATCCAATGCAATTGATTTTGTCTGCTGTAAAATTATTCTGCATCTCATTATTTACATTTTACAAAAGCCCTTTTAATTGAAATGATAGGCTGGACAAAAAATTATAAATGTATGTTAATTACTTTCTTTTCAATGCATTTAACATATTGATACCATAAATATATATTTTTCTTATTTCACATTGACATCAAACATATCTTTTCCATGTGTATGCTTGATTTGTTCACCCTCTACACCAGACTGAAGCATGTAGGCAAGCATACACTTCATTCATGACTGGCTTTATTGTGCAGGTGTCTTAAATTGTTTTTAAAATTATATATCAGTGAATGATTTTACATGTGAATATGATGTGATTGCTCAAATATGAACAGTTAGGATGAAGAATAAGTATAAATCAACTTAAATTACAGAGTGGAGACATTTATAAAAGGTTCCCCTCTTTTAAAAGAGGTCAATTACTTAAGTTACACTGGAGGGTTTTTGTTAAAAATTCTGTCTTTTCACGGAACTGCTTTTGTCTGCCTTGTCATTTTCAGTGGAGCCAAGTGGAGGGCTTTCATTTTTGGACAGTTGAGCTTTTGTGTAGAATCACTTTTGTCCTAAACTTCCTGGAGAAAAGCTAACCATTTCCTGGAGAAAAGCGAACAACTTCACGGACAAAAGTTAACCACTTCTAGGACAAAAGCTAACCACTTCTAGGACAAAAGTTAACTACTTTCCAGCAGGTTAAAGATTTATATACATACTAAAGGCAATTTTTTCCTCAAATTCTTCATCTTTCTTCAATTTCTGTTCCTGTAACTTGTCATATAAACATCTGTTGTCTACTGGTGCTTCAGGACATTCTGAAATATCAATACCACATGATTTAATTTCAAAACACATTAAAATATTTTTCACCTTTTTTTGACTTTACAGTGAGAAAACTTTGACAAGATATGGAAATATTTGAAAAAGGGGATGGTTTTACCAAAAATGGGAGGTTTTGAAATATGGAAAAGTCTATACTTCTTTGTATGTTCTTGCACTGTATACCACTGAAGTAGACAAACTATCTTCAAAGGGTGGTAACTATCGAAGAACAAAAGAAGTTGCATACATTACAATACTGAATAGTCCTATGAATATCATATTACCTCTGTGAGATTTTAATTCAAAGTTAACCATAGTCTTTTATCCTTACCTCAAGTAAAACTGGGGTCATGGTTGGATTATAACTGATTAAGATGTACTAAACACATAAATTTCCCCCATTATACCAATCATTCATAAGCAGAAATACCTTAAATCTGAGGTGTCAGAGAAACCTATGACTCTGAGTAATTTTGGGAGTTAAACACTTGGATGTTCATTTAAGTTGCAAATAATAGCTACCTGAATTAATATTATAAAAGTTTTGACAATGTTTGTCTATGTAAACAACATGACTTGGTGTATGGATTAAAATTTCTCAGGACAGCTCGTTTTTAACTGAAACTGCATTGTTTTATTTATTTTTTTAAGGGAAAAATAATGACTTTTGAACAACCTTATTGCATATAATTCTGGTACTGTTTAGTAACTATTTTACCTTCTGGATCATCCGGTTTTCTTACTTTCTCCCATTCTTCTTGCCTTTTCTGCTTCTTCTCATCCACTTCATTTTGAGATTCAAACTTCTTCAGAGTAAATCCAGGCACCGCACTTCCAGAAGAGCTGCTGAAACTCATCTCTGCATTCAGTCAATGTATGATGTAAGTTGTAAACAAATTCCTCTTTCACTAAAATAGAAGTTAATTCTAAGTGTATAAGCACACAACAATAAATACAAATATTAATGCATATGCACTTATTGATAGTTACCCGAGTTCAAACATCGAACATACGTAAAATATGTACCAGTGGCGTAGCTTCCTATAGGCACTGTAGGCACGTGCCTACACTTTTTCCTCAAAAATGAAAAATTAAATTATTACAAAAATGCGATAAAATTTTTAGGGTAAGGGCGGTAGATGTGTAGGTCCAAATATTAGAACATTATATATATGCCACCAATCGAGTTTTATACTCTTTATATCAAGTTTTATTTCATAACTAAAGTGTTGTCGTGTTATAAAGTTGTTCTGTGGTAAAACCTATCAGAGACGGATGACAAAATAAAAGATTTTGAGCGCTTCGATTCAAAATATAAATATTACAAGTATGCACGACAATGATCGGCCATATCCAGATATCGGTAGTGCTAGCTTTATATAACTGATGAGGAAGCTAAGCGATATCTTTCGAATGAAGCCTAGACATCTTGACTTTTATATTCTCTTACCTTCTTAAGGTATTTATGATTTAATTATTTGTACATTATTCTGTTCAAACTGCATCTCCGTCAAATCTTGAGCACAAGTCGATTTGAAGTAAACGTGAAACATAATCTGTGTTATTACATGATTTTAAAATTTTTAAAATGTATTTTAATTATATATAATAGCACGGATTTATATATGTAATATAAATCCGTGATAATAGATATTTGTATCATAGTTTGGAGACCTTTCTGTTGAAAATGTGTCAGGGTTAAATCGTTTACATATACATGCACAGTGCGTTAAAGTGCGGGTATTAGTTACCCGCACTCCAGAGCATGCCCATTGATTGGCTCATTTTTGCTGGGATTTACATATTGTGACGGCAGAGAAAGGGAAAGCGACAGAAATGTCATATTCAGATGTTCGTTCATTGGTTCATTTTTGCCGGGGTTTCATATTGTGACAACAGGGAACGTGCTTTTATGTTTGACTATGATACAAAAGAGAAAGAACACCAAAACACTCGGCAATCTGATTAATACTCGGGGGCTACGCCCCCTCGTACAAATCAGATAGATTCGTGTTTCGGTGCTCTTTCTATTACATATACAAGTAATGTGTTCGAATACACATCAAAATATGCATTAATTAGCGTACTTGTGGAGAGTTTGCTTATAAAGCTGGCGATTTAATTCTCTTTTTTTAATTTATACTTTAATGAAACTTTATTTATTCATTAAATTGCTTAAATGTTTGATAATAAAAGTTCTTCGGAATTCTTTTTCTCACTTTACTGTAGGTAACGTACTGGAGTTGTAAGTTTGCTTTGTCTTTACTTTCTTTATATGTTTGACTTCACGTAAACACTCTATTCTATGTTCTATGTATATGTTTCACTAAGGCTTCATAAAATTATGGGAACATAAAATCTTATTGAGAAAATTTATTCGATGCTGTTTGTGTGACATTAGATATTTCATCATCATTTAAATACCGATTGTCATGTGTAAAGGGGTGCATTTAGTTAATGGCGATCGGTCTTGTTGATCTTTGTTTTCATTATTTTCTAATTATATGTTTAGACAACCTTATTTTGAATTTGAAATTTTAATGATTGCTTAAAAATTTGCAAAACAATTGTTCGTATTGGATTCATATATTATTACCCAAAACTATATACGGAAAAAAAGCTCTTTTTGCCAAAATATCATAGTATCTTTGCGTTGAGTTAGTGATATAAGTATGGTCATCTTTAAATTGATGGAAAAAAATGTAACCAAAACTCAGCAAAATTATGAATACTCTTCCTTCAGAACATGCCTTAACATACCCCAGAATGCAGGTACGGCAATGTAGATTTTCAAAATTTTCCGGGGGAGCATGCCCCCGAACCCCCCTAACACAAGTGCCTACACATTGGTTTCTTTCAAGCTACGCCCCTGTGTACTGCAAATATTTGTGCACATTAATTTATATGTATTCATTAAACTATATGCATCCATTTCTTATTGATAATTTTGACTTAGACTTTATACAAAATAAATTTCTAATTACCTCCTTGCAAATTCGGTAATTTCTTTATAAATAATGCTTTTTGGAACTTACAATATTGATAAATCTTTATTTGAGCATTATTTTTATGATTTAAAACCATATAAAAGTGAGTTACAGGATCTTTAACTATTTAGAATATATACATGGCTGAGCACTGTCAATTCAATAATGGAATTTCCTTTTTTCCTCTATTAAAGAAAGTTTGCTGTATCATAAGATCAGATGTTTTAAAGATTCCTGACAGTTTATATGGACGTATATAAGCAGTTTATATAGGGCCATATAACCTGTCAAAAAATCTTTATATAAACTAAAATTTAAGTAAAAATATCTTGATATGCTTCACTTTACCCCATGGCATGCTTGAGGAATACATATACAGTCCCAGTGAAACTTGAAATGATCTTACAGGACAATAGGTCCTGTGAAACCTGGTATTTTACAGGACCTTGGTGACAATTACAGGACCTAAAAATTTGTATAATTTTCCCCATTTATAGTAATTATTAGGGATAAGTTCTTGGGGGCAAGTGCATACAAATTGCATTTTTTGAAGTGTTGATATTCCATTTTAAATAAGATTGACCAAAATTAGGTTGACTAAAACAATGCATGCACGTAAAAAGTTTATTAAATATTATTTTGTAACAATAAACAGCAAAATTACAAATGTTGTAAAATCATTAATGAACTGAATGCTTTGCAGGCAGTCTTATGTTTTTTCTTCTCTATCATCATTATCATAGGTTTCATGTAGCTTGTTTTGATTTAGTCACTGCAGCCAAGTGACTTTGTGCTGAAATAAAAAAAGTAAAAACACTTTTTAGTAAATCATATAATTCATCAATTTCAATATTTCCCCAAAAAAAGTATTTCTTGACAGTTCAGAGTCGTAGTTAATATAAACTTAATAAGGTTCATATGGATGTTGTTTTTTTTTCCACTGAATTATAAATAATATTGTCCTCTAATAAATACTTTAAGTTACATTTAATATTCGAGCATTACGATCATCATCACAAATAAATTTTAACTTCTTTTAAATTATTTACAACTGTTCGTACAGAAATTCTTGTAAAGAATAATCATCGGGTATTCACCACTACGAGTGTTTACAGAAGTTTATTTACCTATCATTTTCATTCGCCATTGAAGCATTTGACAAAAAAAATTGTAAAAATCAAAATGTTTGACTGAAGCTTTTGGCGACAAGTTTTTGTAAAGCAAACATACATGTATATCAACATGATTACTAGACTTACCGACAAATTTATGCACTAAGCAAATTTATGCGCTATGTATGTCCCTTATTGGTCTTAATTGACATATGTTAATATTGTTCTTTGTTGATACATATACATGTATTTGATCGGCAAATATCAACACTCCGGAGATGTCACCTGTTGACTTCCAACATCCGCTCAGTTGTATCGCCGCGTTTCATTGGTTTTCCAATTATACCGACCAATGAAAATTGGTTTAACAGACCGTTACGATATAGGCGGAGCGTGGAAGATTTTGACAATTGGAAAATTATTGCACGTGTTTATCCTAATAAGGGCGACATTGTTTTTGCTTTCTAAGCAAACTGGAGATAGAGCGCCTAGAAACGTGAAAAGAGTTTCTTTTTTTATAGTTCTACTGCTAAAAAAAATTACTGGACAGTAGGTCCGGAGAACTTTCTAAATTTGTCGTACCTTTCAAAAAATTACCGGACATGACCGACGGTCCGACGATGTTTCGCTTGGACTGCATATAAGGGTGTCAGAATCCTCAGGCATGATTATTGTTGGAATTTCCCTATGGTGTTGTGTTCAATGTATCCCTTTCTTTTGTCACTCGTCAATTAATTTAGGACTCATTATTTACTGTTACAGAGTTCCAGATAATTTTTTGACAGTGGGGGTAATTACCCCCACTTTTCAAAATGTGGGGGTAAACTTAGATATATTGTAAATCTAAAGAGTACAATTAAATGACTTTACTTTTTTCGCTGCATCACAAGTTTATTACATTGAAATTAACACACCATAATGACCATTCTCTGATATTAAGGCTTCAGCCATAAGGCCTTTACCATATTCTTAATTTTATTTAACATTGTTTACAACAAAAATCGGTGACAATTCATAAACAATAACGTTACAAATAATCACCTGTCAATTGCCGATTTCTGTATATTTATTGCACATTCATTAGCCCATACAATGCCAGCTAAATTTATGACAAGTCAAACATTTCATTCAAACTTCAATACCAGTTTCTGAAATTTGCAGCCACGGATAACTTTTTTTCCAATTTCCAAGTGTTGTGTGCGCCCTTTTCACTTTAAATAATTATACACTATCTAAAATGTATTCAACAATTGGGTTTACAATAATTATTGTTTTAGCAGGCAACTCAGTCGTGTTAAAAAAAAATTGTCAATTTTCCTAAGCAGCCATAATGTAAGTCTTTATAAATAAACGCTTGCAATTATAAGGGAAATCAAGCAACACATTTTACCAAGCGCCTATGCGATAAAGACATAATTTGACTGGTTTACAGAATATAACAAGGGTGCCATAGTCACAAAATACGCCCATTTACGAAAGCTTAAGATGGAGATGGGGGCATTATGGATAAGTGTTATCTAGCAAGCAAGTTTTTATTCTTGGCACTGTGTTGTTAAAAGAACCTTAAAACAAATCAGTAGGGAAGATATGCACAGGATGTGTGACCTTGACCTTGGTCGCAGGGACCTGAATTTTATGCACAGCTCAGCCTCACAATGATGAACATTTGTGCCAAATTATATTGAAATCCCTCTATGCATGTAGAAGTTTTGCTCCAGACAAGCGTTTTTCTATGAGCTCTAACTGTGACCTTCACCTTTGACCTAGAGACTTGGTTTCATGTGCAGGGCACTACGTCTCATGGTGGTG